AGACTAGAACTGCATAAACCACTCAGCCCTCTTGGTGAGCAAACAAACAGACCTTATTCCCCAGGGCTTTCAAACAAACTGACTTGCTGTTGATCATAGAATCATAGAATTGTTTAGGTTAGAAAAGACCTCTAAGATCATCGAGTCCAACTGTTAACCTAACACTGCCATCCCACCACTAAACCATGTCCCTAAGCACCTCATCTACCCATCTTTTAAATACCTCCAGGGATGGGGACTTGACCACTTCCCTGGGTATTCCATTCCAATGCTTGACAACCCTTGCATTGAAAAAATTCTTCCTAATGTCCAACCTAAACCTTCCCTGGTGCAACTTGACACCATTTCCTCTCATCTTATCACTTGTTACTTGGGAGAAGAGACCGACACCCACCTCCCAAGCTCCCCTCAGGTAGTTGTGGAGGGCAATAAGGTCTCCCGTCAGCCTCTTCTTCTCCAGGCTAAACAACCCCAGTTCCCTCAGCCACTCCTCATCAGACTTGTGCTCCAGACCCCTCATCAGCTTCATTGCCCTTCTCTGGACATGTTCCAGCAACACAACATCTTTCTTGTAGTGAGGGGCCCAACACTGAACCCAGTATTCAAGGTGCAGCCTCACCAGTGCCGAGTACAGGGGCATGATCACTTCCCCACTCCTGCTGGTCACACTATTCCTGACACAAGCCAGGATGCCATTGGTCATCTTGGCCACCTAGGCACACTGCTGGCTCATATTCAGTCAGCTGTTGACCAGTACCCTTAGATCCCTCTCTGCCAGGCAGCTTTCCAGCCACACTCTTCCCCAAACCTGTAGTATTGCATGGGGTTGTTGTTAACCATGATGTGCTATGGGAAATGTTCCCTCAGTCCCCTTCCTTCCTAGACCCCTTGTGCATTGTGAAAGTGATGGGAGCACCAACACAACCACAGCAAACACTGAGGCAGTCAAAGCTCACAGCCCCCACCTCTCCCCATGCCCAGGCAGAGGACTATCAAGGTCCATAAAATTACATCTGGTCCTGACAGTTTTATTGGGTCAGTACTACAGTGCTTAGTACTGCGCTGGATTCAGTTGCAAGCCTGGCTGATCTCCTTGACTTGGCTCTCACCTTGAGCAAAGATACCTATGCGAAGTTTCAGCTCCAATTCACATTCACGCCAAGGAAATAGGCTGAACATCCAAGCTGAATTATTTTGCCTCTGACAATCACCTTCTGACTACACTGCTGCTTTGGTGGTGTTCTGCTTTTTCCTCCTCAACAGTAGTCTTCTGCCAGTATATAACCTTGTGCCTGCTGACAGCACAACAACAATTAAAGCTGGCTCAGTACTGTCGTTAAACTGTCATCTAGTATAGCCAAATTTGAGGACACACTCTTCGCATCTACAATACATCGGCTTATCTCTACCAACCAGAGGGTCCTCATAACACTTTATTCTCTGTGTCATGCCTCAGGTGGCAATCCCCCTGCCCCTACCTTCTAACCTGGGCACTCACTGAAAACAAAAAACTAAAAGGAAAGCATTGTGCTCTCCATTCCTCAATGTCTTCTGGAAGTTATGCATTAATCAAAGTTTTGAGCCTGGCTAAAGAGCTGGAAGAAGCTCACACCTTGACTTTCATAAGAAGCAAAACTAAACAACCTACTGGTTTACTTTCAGCTTTAAGATCTAAGACTATCTGTCCTAAAGCCTTGTATAAGGTCAAGTTCTTATTGAGGGCATTCTGTATGTGAAGATGCAAAAAAAAAAAAAAAAAGGAAACTCCTTAGCCTGCCCTTGTACTCTGAAAGTGCAGCAGAGTCCAGTCTGATGCCTCCAAGTAACTCGCTGGCTCAGTATGCAAGTAGAAGTGAAAGCACAGAGCAGCCGGGTTTCCTGCCTGCCAGCCCAGCACAATTTTATCCTTTCCATCACACACAGCGGTAGCAATGCAAAGGTTAGCAAGCCAAAGTATTCACATGCAGGAAAAAACAGGATCTGGTCCTTTTGCCAGGTGTCCTATCACAGCAGGGGGAACAGATGGGAAAATCAGCAAAATTTGGATGCACAAAAAAGCTGCTCCATCAGGCAGTGTGTTACCTATCTGAAAATATGACTTTCCAGAAGAGAGCTTCCCACTAAAATCACTAGCTTAGCATTGCTTTACATCAAAAGTAAATGTCAATAAAAGAATTTGAGGTAAGCAACAAGTCTGATACTTCTGGGTTTGTTCTTGAAAAGGCAAATTTACAACTGAATTAGTCATTAGGAAGTCAATTTGCAGCTGTGACAAACAAGTGAAGATCTATTCAAGTCACGGTATCACCAATAGTATTAATGATCTTGGTAATGAAAAGCTGATGACTTTTAACAAGTGTTATCTGACACACAAGATAAATACTATTAAATATGAAAAGTCTCTTTAATTACATATGGAGTCTAGAGGCTTGTAAAAACCCAAGCAAATTGGTATGCGGTCCTCTCCTTTACCTGTCACTGGGCAGAGTAATGCCATCGCTCAATTACTGACAGCACCACCGATGACTGAGCCCTGGCTTCCCGCAACACGTGGAGGCATGGGCTTCTGCTCTGGATCTTTCCATCAGGAAACCGTAGGTTCAAGACAATTGCAAAAACCAGTGCTGAATAGTTCTGTTAGGAGGGGTGGCGTGGATCTTTCCATCAGGAAACCGTAGGTTCAAGATTCTGTTAGGAGGGGTGGCACAGGTTCCCAGCTAACGAAGATGTCAGCGCATTTAAACGGGTTTAACTGTTGTTTTCTTTATTCTGTGCAAGAACCTTACAGAGGTGGCTATGTCGTGTTTTTTCTCTGAGATGCTGATAGTCACAGAGTATCTCTTGAAAGAGAGTTAAAAAGGCAGAGTCTGACAGTCAATTCCCGACCAGGTTTGTAATTTAGAATTCAGCAGGCTTTTGTTTCAGTGCCCCACAATAAACACTCTGCTTAAATGCTTTTAGATGCCCGTCCTGCTTTTCACTAAGGTGGTAAATCTGAGTTTAAGAAAAAAAATCCTTTCCATCCTTCACATGTATTTACATCTGTATTTTTGTACCAAAATTTAAAACAGCAAATAAAAGATGAGTCTTTTTCATTTTAGTAGTTAACGAGCTTTCTTTATATTTCTGGTAATTCTATTAAGTTGTTTTGGTGAATGAAGTTTAATCTACCCTTGTGAATAGCAGAGCCACTTCCTACTACTTCTACTCGATAGCAGAAGCACAGGAGAGAAATATAATTTTCTAAAATTGCACCTCCAGCTAGATATTCTCCTCCGTCCCACCAACTGACCTGTGTAAGGAGTCTCATCTTTGACCTAAAAAAGCTAAGTTATGTTCACACCAGTTTGGAGGGTCGGCCTGGGGTACAAGGCTTCTCTTGCAGGGAATGGGAGGAACCCTCCAGCCACAGAACGATTAAAATCTTGAATGAATTATTTTCTGTGCATTATTTTCTTAAAAAAACCAAATTTCAGTTTTGATTAAATTGGACCCTTGGTCCATTTATGTCTGAAAGACTTGTATAACAATGTGATTTGTCAAAAATATGGCATACATAAATCAAATTTTAATAGTATGTACACAGTTACCATTGACATATTAAAAACCTCACAGTTTCATTTAACAGAGAACTATTTTAAGTCCTAAGGCAAGGTCCTCTGAACACCTGCTAACCAACCTCCTTTTTCTGTTTCCTGAGGAAGAAGAAATGAGATCCTAGTAACTATGTATGTAAGTTGCATATAAAAATATTTGGGGTCAGTCTGTATGTATGTCCTCCCAAACTTCCTGGAGCTACTCAAACAGGAAATAATATTTCCTATTTGATTTTTTAATGTATTGTTTTTATTAAAGTATGAGTTCATACTTGATTGAAAACAAATTCTAGCCATGGCAGGAAGAAGGGGGAAGAGAAGAGAGGGAATGGGGTAGAGAATGCATTCATAAAATATCTTCACTTCACTTACCAGCTGTTTGAAAACAGAAGTGAAACCCACTTCTCCTCCCTGGCTTCCTGAATGGCACTTTAGCTGTATTTCCTCTCCTGCTCATTTTCACTTCTCTGCGACCAGCGCTGGAATACTTTTGTGGGAATCACGTAGCAGTGCTTTGAGCAGCCATTTGGGTGTCATACAGGTAAGCACCTAAGCTGACAAGCACTACCTGCGCAAACTCCAGTCAGAACTGAGGCTGTTGTACCTCACAGGATTGATGTTTTACATTTGGCACCACCACTTGCCATGGAGTCACATCTGGCTGCTTTTAATAGGATTATGCAGTACTGTACAACAGGCTCTACTCCTAATTGGTAAAAGGTCCATGACCTGACCCTGCAAAATGCAGCATTTTCCTTTGAGATGTTCCTCTCTATTGCTGCCGGGAGCCGAGAACCCTCAGTTCTTCCAGGAGCTGCTCAGCTCACTGCAGGATCCAGTCTGTTTGAGCCCCTTACCATTCCCCATGTATTAATTATCATCACCATAGAAACAGACATAAAGTGCATTTGACTTAAGAAGGAAGCACGATTAATATTTTGTACTTCCAATTTAAAATGTTATTAACCTTTCATAATCAGAACCAGATACTCTCAAATTTTGAAATAATACAGATTTTTATTAAGTTTTGAAGCTGCTTCCATTAAAATCACTGGACGTTTTAAAAACATGCCTTTGACTTTCAGTGGGAACAAGGTAAACTCCTAAATACCGGAAGTAATCACAGGACTTTTTAATGAATTATGGGGTATGATACCCCTGCGAGAACACAGAAAGAGTTTCATATCTTTACAATACTGAAGTGCCTTGCTCTATTCATTACTCACTTTCTTCTGACCTAAGTATTTGAGAGGCCAAAAGGAGATGCAAAAGGAGGTAAGCCATCAAAAAAACATGCTATGAAAAGGACATAAGGATTGTCAGATTATCAGAAGGATATTAAAATTTTAACATATTTAATTACAGAATTTTTACAGAATTTGTAATCCAAGCCATTGTCCACCTTTATTTTGCCAAGCAGAACCAAATTCATGATACCCCTGGGACCAATCACACTGCAGCGACTTGTTAAAAAACTAGCACATAACAGAACTGGCCAACTGTATGGTCAAACCCGTCTGCCAATACCCACCTCAATCTACTGGAGGAAGCAATCCATTGCATTCCCAGAACTGTCTTTGCAAAATGTTTCTGGGTGGGAACATGGATTAAACTTTTTTTCATCAACACGCAGCTCCTGGGCAGCTCAGAAGCACCATGGGAAGGAGATGAGCCACCAAACTGCATGATGAGTAGCTACAGCTACGGTGGCTTTAGCATCCCATTCTGAGCTCGCCATCTTCCTTGGGGAAAATCACAGCATAAAGGCAATACGCTCTGTGGTATGTCACCACGCACCAGATCTTTGGGTGCCTTCAGCTGCCTGTCAACGTAAATCGCCAACAAGAACATACACACACACGGGATACACAACGTGTGAGTTGTCCTCAGACCTCCGCAGCAGCTCGGCTGACATCCTCGATGCAGTAAGTCACACCAGGGAAAACATGTTAATATACTGGCATCTCAGTTCCCCTCACCTGTTGGAAAGCTACATCCAGTGGGTTTAGGAGGCTTTTTGCTCGTAAGGCACAGTCAGAGGACCAGTGGAGCACGGTCTGTGCTTACTGCCACCTCCATGCTTACATTTCTTCAAAGGCAAAACTCCTGTCAACTCCAATGGTGCAGTGTCAGAGGGAAGGTGCTCTTCAATATCATCTGGGGATCTGGCCACCCTCATTAGATGTAATAGCACAGATGGTGCACAGACTCCTGAAACAAAAACATTTTCTCTCAGGAAACAGAACTGCAAAACCAAAGTATTAATGGTTCATCCAGTAAAAGCTTCACAGTGTGTTTGATCACACAACAGTCAGAAACTGCCTTAACTTCCTCTCTGCTTTTAGTGCAAAGTACAACATAAAGCCTCCAAGTGCAACATGAAATACCATGAACAGAGAAATACCTCATATCCGTGTACTTTTACACAGATGCATTGTAATTTACACAGACTTCATTACGGTTTACTTTTTGTACAACCCAGCCTTAAAATCACACCTTCAAGGTGCGTGTAGATTTGTAAGTACAGGTAAATGACATTAATGTCTATAAGGTACATTGCAAACAGAATGCAAAAAAACAACCAACACTTAATACCTGGAGTTATAAACTGTAGGAATATTAAGACCTTATCTGGTAGCAGCTTCATAGCGTGCTATCCAGGAAATAAACACAAATGATTGTGAGTATTGATTTTTCCCCGGCCTAAAATAACCCATTGCATTTTTGGGGTGAAAACACAATGGCTCAAAGAAACCCTGCAAGGAACTGTCAAATGCTGAATATACACATAAACGCGTACATGAATCTATCTCTATCTACCTATATGATATATGATGCAGTTTTACCATCTTTAATCCATTATGGAAAGTGAAGTCATGAAAAGCCTTAAATACATGCTTATTTCAAATAGAATTACATTCAGCTCAGAGCCTGTTGGCATACCTATAGCTGTACTCTTCATTTGAGTAATATTTAGCATTCTTCCATCTATTTACGTGTTTACATGAAAATGTAGCTATTAAAATCACTGTAAAGCATCCCAGAGAAAATGAGGATGTCTTTCTTACCCCTTTTTATAGGCAGTTGGGCAGCAGAGACAAAAATGTATCAAGCAACAGCACAGGATGAACCAGCATTAGAGGCAGAAACCAAATGCAGAGACCTGATTGGGGGGAAAATAAAGCATAAAATCTTGATTAATCAAAACTGCATAATTGTTGTAGAAATGTATTGGGAAAGATCTCCCAGAGTCTCTCACGGGGCAGGGCAAGAGTTGGGTTTTTCATTGTCATATTCAGAGACAGAAGAGAGCTCTGCTCCAGAATGGCCGAGCAGTTCTGTACTCATATCAAATGCGGGTAGGAAAGGGTCTTGTCCCTGAGCTAAAGTAGATTATTAGGGTTTTCAGTATCCAGTGTGAACGCCCCAAATACTCAGCTACTTCTCACTGCTGGTGTCTTCACTCCTTAAATAAATAAAATGAACACAAAAAGGTCTTCTATTCCTCTCACTATAAAGCGGGGAAAAAGAAGAAATTGCAAAAATCTTCATGGGAGGTAAAATACCTGGTGAGCTATATCTGGGAAGTGAGAACTCCCAAACAGGTATTTCTTTCTCCAAACCATGCTACTTCCATATGCTATTACTTCTATATCTTTCTATCAGAGAAACGTGGAAGCAGTAGGGCTGGGAGATGCAGCCAAGCGCAGTCACCTGCAGATACTAGGAAAACCACAAAATATTTCCTGGAACAGCAGATGCCTGTAGCTTGCTGCAGAGATTGAGGAGAAACAGGGGAGAGAAGACTCAAGCAAGAGACAAGCATGAGGAAAGCTTCTGTGCCTAACTTACTGAAGGATGAAGAAATTAAATTAAGAGATGGCTAAATAAAAATTTAAACCTGGGTTCGTATGTCTTTTCTGGGAGGTACAAAATGTGCCAAATAAGCAAGAATGTACAGACTGTTGTTTTCCCTTGATTCAGGTCCACATTAATATTTCTGCTCTCAGGAATCTTCTCTTTAGCTGAAAATGAGGTGCTCCCGACAGGAGTTTCACATTTTAGAACTGTTTAGCCTAAGAGTCTGAGCTGAAGTGAATATGAGTCAATAATGCAAAGTGAAACAAAGTAAATAATGAAATCAATGGAAAACTCCCACTGAGTCCAGCTCCCAGTGGGGTAGAGATCAGGCCATAAGGCGGTAGGAATACATCCAGTGCAACAGAAATCCTGAGAGGAAAATGTGTTTAGGAAAAAATGTTTCTACATTTCTTAATATGATTAAGAGCTATGGAAGGAATTTAACCATTTGGCATTGCAGTGCCCCTCATGATGATGCA